CCAGCCCCATCGGGCGGGTGCAGGACGGGCGGGCGGACGCAGCGGGGCCAGCCCACCTCGGCGGGGGAGCCCGCGCTCGGGGCTTTGCGACAAGCAGTCCAGGCCCTGGAGCCGAGAGGCCAGCAGGCAGTGACCCTGCAAGGGAACAGACGTTTCAGGGGAGTCCATAGCCCCCATGCACCCACCCCACAGGGCCAGTCCTGCCCCATGCTGCTCCCTCCTAGGGACCCTGCTGCTTCCTCGCCTATAACCAAGCAAACAGTCCCAGGGGAGCCACCCCCAGCTCCCTGCTGCAGACCCCCAGCAGCCCGTCCCCAGGGACCCCGCTCCGGCCCTGTCTCTGAGCAATGACCACAGCATGCAGACGGAGCCTTCACATCTGCGCCCTGGAGAGCTGCTCCCGGGCCCCTCCCTGGTCCTAGCCCCCAAGACCGGAGCAATCGCCCTCCCACCCCCCCTGGGCTGGCCCCACATGGTCACCTGCATCAGAAAGGCATGGGGCCCTTGTGGGAGAGACGGGGTCTCGGCGTCTTCCCCCAGCCAGTGTGCCGGTGCCCTGCTCCGCTCCGCGCCCCCCTGGGGTGCACCAAGTTCCGGATGTTCCCTTCCTCCAGGTCCTTGCCATCCGCCCCCTCTGCCAACGGAGCTGTGGGAAGAGGAAGCACGTTAGTGCCACAGGTCTGGCCGACACAGCAGCTCCTGAACCCCATAGTCAGGCCCTGCCCCAACGCTTAGCGTCCAGACCCCGTCTTCCAAGACACCCAAGGCACATTCTGCCCTGAGGAACAGAATGGATCAGACCAATGGTCCGTCCAGCAGTGTCCTGTCTTCCGACAGCAGCCAGCACCGAACGGGGAATCACCCAGCGATCAGTCCCTCCTGTCACCCATTCCTAGCCTCTGGCAGAGTCGGGGGACCCCCGGAGCATGCAGGACCACCCTGCCCAACCTCGCTAGTAGGACCTGTCCTCCGGGAACTTACGCAATGTTATTTAACCCAGTTCTTGTTTTGACCAACACAACGTCCTCTGGCAGTGAGGGTATGTCTACACTACAAAGTTAGTTCGAACTAACTTAGTTCGAATTAGTTAATTCGAACTAAGCTAGTTCGAACTAACGCATCTAGAACTAAAAACTAGTTCGAACTAGCGTTTTGCTAGTTCGAACTAGCAAGTCCACATTGAGTGGACTCTGAACAGGGCTTAAGGATGGCCGGAAGCAGTGCCGGCAGGGCATAAAAGGAGGACTTAGAGCATGGAGATACTGTCTCAGGCTAGCCGAGGGCTGCGCTTAAAGGGTCCCGACCCCCACCCCGGACACACAGTTCTAAGGGGTGCCCCGCTTGCAAAGAAGTTCTGGCTTGGAGTGCCCTGAGTGCCCACACTGGGCACATCACACCACTCGGCCATCAGCCCGGCTGCACTTGCCGCAGGCTGCCATCTGGGGAGAGGGAGTAATTGGGGGGCTGCAGGAGAGCTTCCACCCCCAGAAGCCCGCAGAGCCAGCCCAGTCCTCCCCATCGGGGGCTCGTACCCCATTCCTCCCTCACCTCCTTCCACTTACCCTTCCCTAGCCCCCCTTCTTATTGATGTACAAAATAAAGATAACGTTTCTTCCAACATTGACTCTGTCTTTATTGAAAAAAACTGGGGGAGACTGGGAAAAGGAGGTGGGAGAGGGGAAGAGAAAGGCTGGGAGAGGGGAGGGCAACTAACATGATCAGGGGTTGGGAACAGGTCCCAGATGAAGAGAGGCTACAGAGACTGGGACTGTTCAGCTTAGAAAAGAGGAGACGGAGGGGGGACAGGATAGAGGTCTCTAAAAGCAGGGGTTGGGTGGAGAGGGTGCATTCAGAAAAGTTCTTCCTGAGTTCCCATAAAGAAGGACTAGAGGACACCAAAGGAAAGGAATGGGTAGCAGGCTTGAAACTAGTAAGAGAAAGTTGTTCTTGACAAAGCAAATAGTTAACCTGTGGAACTCCTTGCTGCAGGAGGCTGTGAAGGCTACAACTAGAACAGAGTTTAAAGGGAAGTGAGATCAAGTCATGGAGGTTGGGTCCATGGAGTCCTATTAGCCAGAGGGTAGGAGTGGTGTCCCTGCCCAAAGTTTGTGGAAGGCTGGAGAGGGATGGCACGAGACAAATGGCTTGATCACTGTCTTCGGTCCATCCCCTCCAGGGTCCCTAGGGTTGGCCGCTGTTGGCAGACAGGCTACTGGGCTAGATGGACCTTTGGTCTGACCCAGTACGGCCATTGTAAGCTCAGGGCTCAGGGTCGGGGGTCTCAGTGGACCCCCTTGATTTTCATGCACACCTGGTCCTGGGTGGCCAGGCTGGCAGCTCTCCTGCCCTAGACGGCCACTTTCCTGTGCCTAGTGCAGAGATCGTGGACAAGGTCCATTATGTCTGCACTAGCCCAGGAGTTTGTTCTTCCACACACACACAAAAAAAGAGTGTTGCTTGCAGTGTAGACACGCTCTTTGTTATTTTGGACTAACTTACGTTATTCCGAAATAACACTGCTGTGTAGACATAGCCATGTGGTCTTCTTAAATTTTCAAAAGTAAATGTCTAAATATATCTCTCTGGGTATGTCTACACTACAAAGTTAGTTCGAACTAACGTAACTTTAATAGGTGCTACACTAGCGCTCCGCTAGTTCGAATTTGAATCGAACTAGCGGAGCGCTTAGTTCGAACTAGGTAAACCTCATTTTACGAGGACTAACGCCTAGTTCGAACTAGCTAGTTCGAACTAGGCGTTAGTCCTCGTAAAATGAGGTTTACCTAGTTCGAACTAAGCGCTCCGCTAGTTCGATTCAAATTCGAACTAGCGGAGCGCTAGTGTAGCGCCTATTAAAGTTAGTTCAAACTAACTTTGTAGTGTAGACATACCCTGAGTTCCACAGGTTGACCATGGGTATGAAGAAATACTTTATTTTAAACCTGCCACCTATTCATGTCACAGGTTGACTCCTAGTTCACGTGTTACGTGAAGGAGTAACTAGCACGTTCCTATTTACTTTCTCCACCCCAGGCACATTTCTAGAGACCTCCAGCATATCCCCCTTAGTCACCCCCCTTCCAAGCACAGCCCCCGACATGGAGGGACCTGCCTGGAGCTGCCCCAGCACAGACTGGCCGTGGGTCTGTGTGAAGAGCCCTTCCCCCCTCTGCTCCCGGTGAGAGGGGCAAAGCCAGGGGCCGTTTCCATGTGTGGGGCAGACTCTGTCACGCTCCCTGGGCTGCCTTCCCCAGCCGCCTGCGGCAGGCCTGGCTCCCCGCCCCGCTCCCTTGCCCAGGGAGGGCTGGGATCCAACACAGCCCCTCCGGGAGGCCAGCTGACTCCCTTCTCCTGAGGATGCATCCAAGGGCGGGGCTGGGGAGTCAGGAAATCCCCTCCCAGGGCTGCAGCCTCCTTGGGACACTGAGCCCTCAGCCCCCCCCATTCCTGACTGCACATCGCACAGGCCATTTCCTGCTGTTTCCTCCTCTTCCGGCCCCTGCACCCTGCCCAGGGCCACCCAGGAGGGGGGAGGCAGGCTACAGGGGGGCTGCAGCCAAGGGCCCAGCCCACTCTAAACAAGGGGCGCGCCCCC